ATTACATTTACAATGTTCTGCACCCATCATATTATTAAATTTGTTTTATCATACCAAATAGAAACTATAAGCATTATATAATAATTCCTTATTTCCCTTTACTCCCAGCCCCTGGCAACCTCTAATCTTCCTTTTGTCTTTATGAATTTGACTATTCTAGATAGTTCATATAAATGGAATTACACAGCATTTGTTTTTCTATCTGGTTTATTTCACTCAGCATGTTTTTAAGGTCCATTTATATTGTAGCATGTATCAGAACTTCATTCCTTTTTGTGGCTGAATAATATTCCATTGCATATCTATACCACCATATGTTCATCCATTCATTCATTAATAGGCATGGGTTATTTCCACCTTTTTGCTCCTGTGAGTACTGCTGTAATGAACACAGGCTTAGAAGTATCTGAGTCTCTGGTTTTCATTCTTTTCAGTATATAAGTGCAATTCCTGGGTTATATGGTAATTCTGTTTTAGCTTTTTAAGGAACTATTAAACCTGTTTGACTGTAGCTGTACCATTTTACATTTCCATCAGCAGTGTATGAGGATTCCAGGCTCCACATTGTTGCTAACATCTATTTTTCATTTTTGTAGTCATTCTAGTAGGTGTCAAGAGATATTATTTAACATTTATCATTTCTGTGCCTCAGTATGCAAGTCTATAAAGTAGAAGGACTTTGGTCTACATTAACATTATCCAAATTGTGTTCTACAGAATACCCTGTCATCGAAATACACTGATAGGTTCTGTAATCAAGTCAGTTAGAGGAGTACTGCATATTGTGTTACCCTTGCAGAGATTCACATTGCTTATTAAACTGTTAGAAGTTTTGAAGAAACTTGTTTAACCCAGCATTACCAAATCTTTTTGACTATTAAATTCTCCCCTCACTTCCCTTGGCGTACCACCTATCTATCTCATAGAATTAGATGAGCACAGTTTGAGAAATACTAGTGTACATTATTAAAGTCCTTTCTGGGTATAAAATATAATGATAGTATATTGCTGGTTTAAATAGCTGTTAGTAAGCAAGGAATTTTAAAAATTGTCTTTTTAAAAGGGCAGAATAATTAGCATCATTGAAAATATTCTTTATAATTTCCAACTCTGTCAATTATGGTAATGTATACATGGAAGATTAATTAAACTACATTATAATCATCCCATTTGTGACCTCTGTTTTATGTACAAAAGTGTTATTGGAAGTTATAGGATCCTCATTAGCCCCAGAACTTAATTTTAAAAATCAAATTTAAAATCTTTTGAAGATAGCAATATTTACTAGTAAATATACAATATTTCCTGTAGTTGGAAAATTGGGAAAACTCAAAGTAAAGATATTCAAATCATATACAGATTATTTTATTTTAATCTAAGAGCAGAGTTTATATCTCATTTGTAGCTTTGTGTTGTTGCTCAGTAACCAATTTGACAGTCATTTTACTATTTAACCAATAAATCCAGAAACATTTGTTTTTTGGTTTTTTTTTTTTAAATGTATGTACTTGTATGTATGTATGCATGTACCAACTCGTTTTGGAAAGGCGGCTGTTCAAGATCAATGTAATACTATTTTGTTGAACAGCTCCAAGTGGTACCATTGACACTGTATTCTAAGTAAGTGGCACTCTTTCAAAGATACAAATTTGAATGGTGCCCTTGAATTCAGGCAATGCTATGACCCGGGATTGATTTATGTAAGATTTTCTCCTTTGTGGGCTCATGATATTTTCTTGTTTTTCTTGAGTTTCATATGTCAAATATCACAAATGTCAAAGATTTTCTAATAAAGTGGGCTTCTCTCTTTCAAGCATTTCTTTTCATAGTTCACAGATTTGCTTTCCCAAGTAGATGAGAAAGAGATGTAATTATCAGAGCTGAAATAAGAAATAAAACATAAAAAATTGTACCTGGTAGTTTGTAGTATATAACATGTACCTATTTGTTCAGACATGAACTCATACCCTTTCACACACAAACCATCTCCCAACTATATGTGTAAGCATTTGCTAATTTAGTGTTTCAATCTGCCAATGATTGATCTTCATTTGTGAAATATTAGCTTTCCTGTTAGCATATTAGCAAACTGATTTTCACTGAACTCGATTTTGGCTGATTTGTTATTTGATAGCTTGATTTTTGGCTAATTGGCAAAAAGCCCTTTGAGACTGTAAATAATCTCAGGACATTTGCAAAATGTTTATGGATTCAGAGACTCTTGAACTTTTCTTCACATTCAAGACACCCTAAGCCAGAAGTTAATATGATGAGAATTTTAGAAAAGGAAATATTTCCTTAACATAGTGTTCATTTTCAGACATAATTTTTATGACTAGGGAATAGAATCACTTTTTCTTCCAACTCTTTAATGATTAGATTTTATAAATATGCTTATAAGTATGTATATATATATAGTTCAATAGAGTCTTAAATTTCATATGTAATAAGCTTCAATTTAAAAATATTTCTAAAGTTAATATTTTGTTAGCTTTTTAAATTATATCATATAAGTCATTAATCATCTTATTATCTACTGTATCAAATTAATGGTATTCTCTCTATATTAAGATTTAGAAATGTCTTAATAGGCAAATCCAGAAATTAGTGACTATATATTCCTCAATGTAGAATACAATATAACCCTAGAAAAAAGAATTGGTTAACAAGGTTTACATAACTAGGTTTTTGCAAATATGGATTTTAATTTAGTATCTTAATCTGTTTAAATGAATTTTCATAGACAATGAGACATAGGAATAAAATACGTTTATTAGTTATTTTGGTTGACTAATTCCAGTGTATTGTTGGCTAAAATAATTCTGATTAATGAACATTTCTAAAAATTACAAAGTTATTAAATTTGTTTTGGCAATCCCTGTCCACATATATTTACATTAGTGAGTATATAAGTTAGTTTTTTATACTACATAGTATTTTAGAATATGAATTACTGACTTTTCCAAGTAATTTAGTGCCGTACTTCTTTAAATCCTCAATATGGTTTACTTTTAGATTGATCGTTTTGAGATGAATTGCTTCTAGATTGGATTATTGCCAAACTAAGGAAAAATATATTTGGAAAGGGAAAGTTATGTATTAATATGAGACATTTTATCTCCAGCTTAATGTTTTTGTTACCAGCCTCAATTTGTCACATTTAGTTATTATAAGTACCTTTCATCTTTTTTTTTTTTCCCCACTAGTATGATTGGAGCTAGAGCTGCGATAGTTTTGACAAACCTTTGTTGGTTTAGTTGGCCAGTAACTTAATTGGCTTCCTGACTTCGTGTATACCTATGCCCCTATGCCACTTTTCTCCAACCTATTTCCTCAGCCTCTCCCACTGATTTTATTGTTCTTGCCTGTGCATGAGAGACAAGCAAACCAAGTAACTTGATTATCATTAAGTCAACCTGTAAACCTTATTTGAACTTATATTTTTCTTTCTAGAATAAGGTTTTTGATCTCAGTTCTCTGTGCCTCATAGTCCCAACAGTAATTGGGGAATCTTCCTCTTATCCTTTATTTCCACTAACCAGGATGTTGCCTTTTATAATGAGTCTTTCCTTGACCCTGGTTCCTCAGGAATTGAGTTCCTGTCCCTTCCTCGCCCCCAAATCCTTGCAAGGATTAAAGCCACTGAATCCAAACTCTATTTTGATCTCCTTTTTTGGCCTTTTAGATTCCCCATATTTATGTCATAGTAATTATCCATTAGATAGGATAAACCACAGAACTCCCATTAGTAAATAATAGATGACCTATTTTAATTCCATGAGCTAATTTAGCTAATGAGAATTAGCCTTAGTATTGTTACTGGGTACTGTGATTAAAATGTCCAAAGGATAAACATAAATATATTGAGCCATTATTGAGCATTTAGTGGGCCAATTAGAGTTTCATTTCTTTACTTATCCTTCTCTTTGTCTTTGATAATTATACATTATCTTTATGAAGAAATGCATTTTCCATAGTTCTCTATCATAAGATTTAACATAAAATCTTTAGCAGACTTATAGTGCTGTAGATTTGATTAGAAAATATTTTAAATTAAAACCTTTACAAAATTATTATTCAATAAAATTTTCTATGGTTAAATATTAAAATACGCAGAACTTTTAAACTTAACATTTCTGTTTCATTGTGGGCCATTAATAGAAAGTAATTCACATTTTAAATTAAAATGTCCAACTTCCTGAACCACTGTCATTTATTCTGATACCTTATCTGCTTGTGAATAACCTAGATAAAGAAATGTTCGCAGCATCCCTCCGCCCCTTCACACCTGTGTTTCTCACAAATTATATTGTGAAAACATTTCTCTTGTGTTCTAATCCTGTTATTATTATATAGTGAGATTTTTAAAAAGTAGTAAATTGTACAGAAAGCCAAATTAGAGGAAAGACAGTTTGAAACTGGATGTGGAGGAGAGATGATAGCAAGGGAACTAAAATTATTCTTTGTAAAATTAAGAAATGAAATACAATAAGGCTACTAGTAATAAGGCTTTTTTGTGTCTCATGAATATATTTCCATTTTGGGTTGATATATTTTCTTAAATTTTGTATTAGAAAGATGTGTAGAGGTTACAGTGTGTTGGATACTTGGCTTCCTCTAATGTTCACAAGAAAGTTTTATAATTCTCTGAACAGTTTTATTGCGATGGCTCTGCCTTTAGACATTGTTATGATTTTATTTACAGTCTAGATATTAAGAGTGAATCACAGTCTTAGGTCATTTTAAGCCCCTGTTTCTAAGGTGGGCCACTAAAGATACTATATATAACTTAGAGTTTCTTAATTCTTCTTTTAAGTATTCAGGTTACTGGTTTGATTTTGTTTTTAAACACAGTAGTGCCAAAATAAAGTTTCTTAAAAAGCATAGTCTAGGTAAAATAATCTATTTTCCATGACTCATTTATCTTATGTTTATTCTTCTGTGGCACTTTTTGATTTATATTGTCATACTAATGTTGACTATTAATTTCTTTCCAACAGCATGGATTTGTGGTATCATTTCTATCACTGTCATTAGCCTGCTTTCCTTGCTTGGCGTAATCTTGGTTCCCATCATTAACCAAGGATGCTTCAAATTCCTTCTCACATTCCTTGTCGCTCTAGCTGTTGGAACAATGAGTGGAGACGCCCTTCTTCATCTCCTGCCCCATGTAAGAAATCCTTTTAAATTTTAAAAAGTTAAAAATATTTAAGCTAAATGGTCTTTCATTATTAGCAAGCTGTAGCATACCAATATAGAATTTATGCTGTTTTGTTTGCTTATAGGATGAAAGAATTTTTTTTGCACAGTTTTAATAGCAATGTTTTTGAAATAAATTGAATGATTAGGTTTTAAAATAGCAAGAAAAACTGGTACTATCAGTTTTATGTTCACCCATCACAGTGTATACATGTCAAATCACTACTATGTACAAATTAAATATCTTAAAATTTATAGTTCAGTTATACCTCAATAAAGCTTTTTTTTTTTTTCATTTGCTCTATTGGCTATTCTGAAAATAAAGTCTTAAAAAATCAATAGTAATAGACCTTTTTATCTCTATGGTATATCAAGAAAGCCTTTAGAAGAAACGTATAAAGAATCTTATAATGATTGTACTTAGAGCCAGTGTTCCATAGGCATCTTTATTTGATCAGGAATAGGCAGACCTACTCAGTTAACTGTTATACACATTTAGCTTTTTATACATGGGGCCATTTATCTTTTCACCTGGCTTACCACTTGTTTTCTTCCATTTGGGGACTCTCCACTGATACCATAAACTTACACTGTTAGTGCCTTAATAATACCTTTTAAAATCTGTCTCCAATTAAGAGTATTTGATCCAGTGTTATTATTTTTACTTCATATTATGAAAATAGTGGGACTTTTTCTTTTCCAAATGTAAAATTACAGTTTTGAATATTTTTTTTATGTTCTCACCACCATCCTTCTTGGGCATTTAGGGGACAGAATTGTATTTGTGTGTTGTGTGTAACTCTTCTCCCCTTCTGTATTGTTGGTTGAGTATTCCAGATCTAATATCTAGAATAATGTATGACATTGCTTTTTAAAAAAAAATTAATTAGTGAATCTTAAAACTGTGAATATGAATATGTTTAACTTGATTCATTATACATTATTATTTTCCTCTTTATTTTCACCCTTTGTTTGCCTTTTCTATTAGCCATCAGGAATAGCAACAATCTGTTTCTGAACTGGGCCTAATAAGTTAAAGTGAGAGCAATGTTAATTAAGTAAAGTTATTACCTTTTTGAATGGTCTTATCTCCTTTGAGAGGTATAGAAACCTCTTCTGTTGACCACTAGCAAAAAGGGAAAGAATACAGGTACATGTTATAAGGAAGAAAAATACTTAAGAATAGTTTTCTAATGTTTAAGTTTTCTAATATTAATAGTGATGTGTACATTTCACAATTAAAAAATAACTATTTCTGTATATACATTTATTTTTGCTAAAGCTTTAAAATGTTAGAAAATTAAGCACATGTTTTTTTCAGTATACACTGACTAATATTCCACGGTTTATGTAGAGGTAGCATCTCATCACTTTGAAATAATTTATAAGAGAAAAATATTATCAAAATATAATCAGTTTAAGAAAATGTTAGATTATAGGGATTCACAAGAGATCATCTGCTGATGAATTAGTTTGTTTTATTTTTACTATTAAGCATTTATTTGGGTCATGTTCACTTCAAATTACAAAGGACTCATTATTATTTTACTGCTGTCTTGGTTGTGTCACTATAGTATGAATCTTAACTCCTATAGGCATTTGGTTTTGTAAGGGTCTTTGTGTTAGAGTTACCATGAAAGTTAGTACTTTCCAGGCCACTGAATATAGCAAAATGAAGTGGAAGATTACTTATATTTAAGTGAGGTAATATTTAGGAGAGCACTTTAAAAATTGTATTTTTTTCTGTGTCCTCTAGAAGATTATAATTTCAAAATTTTAAATAACATTTTAATTACTTGTTTAGAAGTGTTCTTTGCTCTTGTTAATAGTCTCAGGGTGGACATGATCACAGTCATCAGCATGCACATGGGCACGGGCATTCTCATGGACATGAATCTGAGAAGTTTTTGGAAGAATATGATGCTGTGTTGAAAGGACTTGTTGCCCTAGGAGGCATTTACTTATTATTTATCATTGAACACTGCATTAGAATGTTTAAGCACTACAAACAGCAAAGAGTAAGTATTTTTTTTTTTTTAATTTCATTTTCTGAGATATAAAACTCAAAACAAAAACCATTTTCTGGACATATGCTTTACTTAATTATAGTGTTGTTGTATGTTTAATCTCTATCTTTTAATAGATTATCTTCATAGGAAAAATGACTTTGATCTTTGCCATTTCTTATCATTACATTTATTTTGGCATTTATAATCAAGATGTAGCAGTCTTAGTCTCAGTTCATTTGTATCATATCTTATGCAATTGACTTAAATAGGCTAGAAAAAGCCAATTTATGCTTATAAAAATGCAAAAATGTATAAATAGAAGCAAGTCATCAGTCTTCTTAGGTCATATTTTCAGGTATAAGTGGCTTTTATTGTCACATCTTTTAATGAAAATATTTACACACAGATTTCTTTATCAGAAATGTCTTGTCAATAGTAAAAGTACTAGAGTAAGAAGAATTTAGATTCAAGGGGCTTTGCAGGAGAAAATACAATGAAATGAAGGAAATGGTAATTCATCTCGAGTGATGGACCACTTGGAAGGTGATGCCTAGACTGTTGATTAAATACCCTGCTTGTCATGAACTATCTCTGTTTCCTGTCACATTTTTGAGAATAAGGCAAATATTCCAAAAAAATTTTTCTCCAGGAAAGTAAATTCAGGGTCACTACTATTTACGATGATTATACCCCTCTCTGTTTACATTGGTTCACATCTGTCTTTAAAGCACTACCTTGACTATATTTCACTAACATGTTTGTGATACTAATACTGATTATCATCAGTATATTCTATTTAAATAAATCTAGAGAATACTTTTTAGGAAGCTTTCTACAAAATAATAGAAAAAAATATTTTAAATTATTAGTTTCAAGTTTACAGTACATTGGTTAGACATTTATAAAGTTTATAAAAAATATCCCTGATTGTTTTTTCTCTCCCCTAGCTATACACCTAGCCATTACATTAATGCTAAAAAAGTAGAAAATTTTTACATTTTGTTAGTTAATTACAAATATTCAAAAAAGAAAAAAAAATCTTTTCCCACAAGAGCACTGCGTAGTCATGATTATAATATATAGTCTACTTTTATGATACAACTTTTATGCTATTTTTATGTATATGTTTTGTTTGTATGTGTATATGTTTTGTATATATCTCCTTGAGACAAAATAAATGGTTTATAACAGAGCTCTGAACTGGGATTCATGGGGAGTGATTCTAATTCTTGTTCAACCACAAACTAGCTGTGAAACTATGACTCATTCCTCATGATTTCCAGTTGCTATCTAAATCTATGAGAAATAAATCCTACTCATTTTTATTTTTATATCATATTCCAAATAGTGCATTTAATTTTAATTGCCATATTTTAGTCAGGACACCATATTTAATTGCCTTCAAAGGAGGGGCGATCAAAATGGTGTGCACAGTGAAGAATTATCTGAGAAATGATAAAAGGAATTGGGAAGGATCGACTTAGAGAAAAGTGAAAGAGATTTAACAGCATTTGGTTTTTGAAGGGTTGTGTGGATGGTCATGTGAATGAATGAAGAATAGCATATAGTGGAGGTAAATGTGGCTGGAGGGAAAAGAGTCAGTGAAGATTACTGCAAAATAATTTAAAAGAGAGCTAATAAGGACTTAACTAGAGTCATGGCAAAAGGAATGGGGAAAAAGTAATTAAGAGAATTATTAAAATGAAAGAATCAGTAAGAAGACTTGATATTTGATTAGATATAAGAAATACAAAAATTTAGAGTCCATTCCGGTGAGTACCTAATTTAGAACAAAATTACATATTGCAAAGTATATATTAAGAAGTTTTGTAATTACTGCGAAAACCTAATTTTATTCAGTTGTGTACACCTACTAACATTGAAGCAGCAATATTAAGTATTTAATATATACATACAAAATATTAGGGACTATATAATTTACAGATAAATATCTTCAAGAGAGTGCAAAATAAATTTTCTGTTTTTATATTTTAATCTTAATCTCATTTTTAAACCTAAATTTACTGGCAAACTTAAATAAAATTATTTTTATAAAGCAAACTAATGTAGGAGAACACAGTCCCCAAAACATGGCAGCTTTTTTGTAAATTTGTAATTGTGAGATGTAAACTGAAGAGAATACTTTTGGCGGAGGAGTATTCTAAATCTGATAGTAAGGAATTTTTCAAGTATATCAAAGAAAGGAATCTGGGCAGATAAATCAGTGCATCTCCTTTATGATAAATAGGACAATAAGTAATCTAGGTATTTTTTTAAGAAAGAGGATTAGTGATACTTGAATAGAACAGATATTTGACCATCTGATAGAAGAATCAACTATTGGAAAGAAGCTTTCAGAGCCTAAATTAAATAATACAGCAGATACTGACTGGTTTCAGCAAGACTGAAGCTTTGAGGGTAATGATTTGACAAATTTTAGGAAAGTGGACAATCAGAATCAAAGCAACTAAATGAAATTTCAGCTGGTGGTCACATTTTATTCTTTACTTTCGGTGTCCTTCTTATTGACATTTGTACTGTTGTTGCCACCTCCTCCTTCCTCTTTTTTCCCCTTCTCTATTAACTCATAACTGTTCTTTCTTCTTTTTAGGATGTCTCCATATAATTTTCTTTTGAACATTTTCTGTTTCCCCAGTTTCTGTTATCTAGTGCTATAAAACAGAACAACCCAAAACTTAATGGTTTATAACAACACTTTATTATTTCTCTTAATTCTGTCAAGAAGTTAATTCAGCTGGGTTGTTCTTTTGCTTCATTTGGCATAAGCTAGAGTCACTCACTGTACTACATCCAAACTCAGCTGGCCTGGGTTGGTCTGGGCAGGGCAAGGCTGGAAGGTCCAAGAATGCTTCACTCTATGTGTATATCTTGGTATTTCTACACATGGCCTCTCTTCAAAGGTTAAACTGAGCTTCTTCATAGCATAGTGACTAGCTTTCCTGAGCAAAAGCAAATGGTGCCATGCTTCTTTCAGACTAGTTCAGGAACTGGCAAGAGCATCATCACTTCTGTTGCTCTCTTTTGGTGAAAGCAAGTCAAAAGACTAATCGGAATTCAGGGTCAGGGGAACAGACTTTACCTCCTTATCATTGGAGAAGAATGTTCACATAGGGTAAAAAAGGAATTGATGGTAACCATCTCTGGAGACTTTACCACATTCTCAGCTCGCCGTAACATGCTTACTTATGCAATAGTTAGAACACTTAAACGTCAGAAAACAGTTCACAACCTGTAAGCAAAACCAGCAAGAAAATGATCTACCAGTCAGTAAGCATCTCCAAGAGAACACTGCTTTTTATGTTCACACTGTCCTAACATACTTAAATAATATAGATTAGAAGTCGAAATTTAAGTATTAGAAGTAGAAATTTAAGTTGGAAGAGTTGTTAATGTTACAATGATAAAAGAAGAAAGCAGACTATGAAGAAATAAGAGGAAAATTCAACCAAAACAGTGAAATACAATAATAATACATAGGATTTATTATAAATAAATACAATAAGATTTATGAGTAATTGAGGATAGATTAGATGAGAAAGAAAACTTTATTGCAAAACTAAGCATCAGTTATGGTCATTTTCATACATCACCTCATTTAATCTTCATAAGAAGCTATCATTTTCATTTTATAGGTAGGTATTCTTACATTAAATATGTTTAATAAACTTGTCCAAGTCTTATAGAAGTAAACTGCACATTTGGGATTTTAACTCGTTTGACTCTGTCAGTTATGCCATAAGTAGGGAAATGTGAGATTACATTAATCACAAAATAAAATTCAAAAGAATAAACTGTAGTTTTTTGAAACTCCCTATTCCCACACACTATCAGGTAAGAGAGATTACATATATCTCACATTCAATTTGGGTTGCATATAGTAATATAGTATTGTGTACACTATTCTTAACTTTGAAGTAGATAAATTGAACCTTTCTTTAGTTGAGTGTTCAGAAAAAAACAACATATAAACATAGTTGGATTTTTCATCTGGTTAGACCCCTCAATTAACTTAAAAAATGTCCCTCCTTTACTAAATCATTTATGTATAAAGTCACCACCATTTATCCTCAGGTGTTAATAAGTGAATATTGTTGCTAACTGTGACCACAGATTTAATATTAATTCCAGATTTTGTATTTTTAGGGGAAACAGAAGTGGTTTATGAAGCAGAGCACAGAAGAATCAACTATTGGAAGGAAGCTTTCAGATCATAAGCTAAATAATACACCAGATGCTGACTGGCTTCAGCTCAAGCCTCTTGCCGGTAGACAGCAGATCTCAAGAGAAACTTTTAAAACATAAAAATTGAAATATTGCTTCTAACCTTTGTCTGTTTGAAATTTCTTGTCTTTATGGGTTCTCTAAACTTTAGTTTCTAACTTCTATTTCCTTAAATGTCAGTGTGTCTTAATTGTGGTTTTGTTAGGTTGTTTTTGTTCATTTTAGCCTTATTTATACTGGAATGTGGAACCAATTAATTATATTACTAGGCAAAAAAACATATTGTACTTTTACTTTACAAAAAAACAAAGAACGAAACAAACAAAAAGGCTTTGTAAGTGGCAGAGCAAAATTTTTGTGCCCTCCACATGTGATTGGTTTCAAATGGGAAAAAACGGTAATCAGCCCATGTACTTAAAGGAGAATGGTCCATGTCTTAAAATTTCTGCACATCCATCAATCTATTCTGTTGCCTAATAGATATAAGGTAGCTTACAATTTCCATGAAAACATAAAACATTTTTTAACCGAGTTTTTCCCCTTTCTGTTTGAACTTGTGTTTCCACTCAATATACCAATGATTTTCTGTAGAAAAGGGGCCACCTAGACCCTAACTATAGACTCTGCCTTAAAATACAATTTGGGAAGTGTTAGAATCTTTGTCACATAATATGTAACTTTTGAAAACTGGGTAATAGGCCAACTTCATTTTTTTTTTAAAAAAAGTTCTTATTAGATGTTGTTGTCACTTATATATGAGTTTCTGAACATTCTAGTAATGATCTGAGTATCATTGTCAGATAGGTGGAGCATTGAAGGATACAAGTTAAGTTTTGTCTTTGTTTTCTTAAATCATAAGAGAAGTTTAGAGTGAGTAAATTTTTTTTTAAATTAATTTTATTGGGATAACATTGGTTCATACAATTATATAATTTTCAGGTATACATTATAGTCTGACATCTATATATTCTTTGGGTGTGATTACCACCCAAAGTCCAGTTTCCTTTAGCTACCATATATTTGATCCCCTTTACCCACTTCAACCCTCCCCCAAGTCCCATATTTGACCCCCTTACCCCGTATATCTTTCCCCTCCTCCCCCACCCGCTACTCTCTGGTAACCACTAATCCATTGTCTGTGTCCCTAAGTCTCTGTTTGTTCTGTTCATTTGTTGCTTTTAGGTTTATATCCCACATATAAGTGATACCATGTGATTTTCAACTTTTTCAGTCTGGCTTATTTCGGTTAGCATGATTATCTTGAGGTCCATCCATGTCGCAAATGGCAGTTTTTCATATCCTCTTATGGCTGAGTAATATTACATTGTATATGTGTGCCACAGCTTCTTTAGCCAATCATCTATCGTAGGATACCTTGATTGCTTCCATGTCCTGGCCACTGTGAATAATGCTGCTATGAACATCAGTGTGCAAATATCTTTTTGGATATGAGTTTTCAAGTCTTTGGGGTAAATACCTAGCAGTGGGATTGCTGGATCATATGGTAGATTAATTCTAGTTTTTTAAGGAACCTCCATACTGTTTCCCATAGTGGCTGTACCAATTTGCAGTCCCCCTAGCAGCGTATGAGGGCTCCTTTTTCTCCGTATCCTCTCCAACATTTGTTATTACTTGTTGATTAGAGTGAGTAAATTTGAAGGGTGGTTCTTTTTCTGAAAAATTTGGGGTTTGTTTTGTTATCCTGTAAATGCTACAGTAACTTTTCACTCTTTGATTTTCATCAGCTGTTCATGATGTACTCTTTAAGTTGCATAATATCTTCATGCTTGCCAATTTTTATCCTTTGCTTGCTCTTTCTTTCACTTCGCTCCCTTATGTGGAACATCTTTTGGATTCTCAGAACCCCAGTTTGTTTTGTGTGTGTGCTTGTGCATATTTATTTTTTTTATTTGTTTTTATATACTTATTTAGTGAATTTTAAAAGACATTCACTTAAGAAATGTTAATCACACTGCTATTCTGCCTGAATTTAAATTAGGAAATATGCGTTCATTAACTCTGATAAATCATATCCTTTGCTATTATAAATATAGGAACTGATGACTCGGTTGTTTCTGAAGATCGACTTAATGAAACTGAACTGACAGATTTAGAAGGCCAACAAGAATCCCCTCCTAAAAATTATCTTTACGTAGAAGAGGAGAAAATCATGGACCATTCTCATAGTGATGGGTTGCACACCATTCACGAGCATGACCTCCATGCTGCTACGCACAACCACCATGATGAGAGTAAGACTGTGCTGAGGAAACATAATCACCAGTGGCACCACAGACATTCTCATCATTCACATGGTCCCTGTCATTCTGGATCAGATGTGAAAGAAACAGGAATAGCTAATATAGCTTGGATGGTAATCATGGGGGATGGCATCCACAACTTCAGTGATGGGTTAGCCATTGGTAAGTGAACTGGAAGCTTGGTTTATAATTTGTTGTCTTTTAAGACCATTTTCCTCCTTCCACTATTTTAGTACCAATCTTCTGAACTATAATAAGATTAAAGTTTGGATCTTAAATATGCTATTATATAATACTCCTGTTATTTAGTTTTTCCAAAGGCTATATGTTAATGTTTTTGATAAGTATATTTGGGGACAAAAGGTATAATTTTAGTGGGTTTTTCTTTGAACATGTAAACAAATGCCTATAATATACTTCTTTAATAACTTGATTACTTTTTCAAGACATTGTCACCATATTGAAAAAGCTACGATAACATTATATTTTTAAATATATTTGCACATCCCCAAATGAAGACAAATTATTTTTAATATTGGATTTAATAATTTTTTTATATCTTTAAAAGGTAAATAAAATTTTTATATTAAGAAAAATGGTATACCAGCTTCAAATGTATTATATTAGAATCTTACTAATGTAAACTAATATTGCCAGTTTAGAACAATAAATACGATCAATATATAATTTTCTTTGAGATTCAGGCTCTATTAAATAATCACTCAGAAGTAGCCATTGATTTCTTTGAGAAAGGAGAAACCATATTTTTGAATCTACAGTGGCTGTCAGTGTTAAAGAATAAATAATTTTACTAGTCAAATTAGATGCATTTATACCTCTGATCTCAGTCCTCAAAACCATCAAACAAATAATACTTTGTACCATTTATACTCTAGACCCAGAAAAGTTTGGATAAGGATAATTGCCATTTAAATATCTATAAATATTAATATGAGAGAGCAAGTGCAATCATAGACTTAATGTCTTAAAACTGAACATCAGACTACCACTCAGAGGTTAAAACACTGAAAACCATTACTACTCCCAAGTTATTAGTGAGTTAGAAGGCTATACAAATAGAGAATTTAATTCCATAGGTACTACTTCTTTCATTGAGTAGCTCTTTCTTTTCTCTGGTTGTCAACACCTGTTGTACCTTACTATATGTTCAAAAACTAAAGTGTGTAAGATAAGCGAGTCACTCATATATTATGAAATTAATTTAGATACGTAGAAGAAATGGCACCTTCATTAATGAAAATGGAAAAACAGAAGGTCAGTAAATGTAACTTGATTTTTTTTCCACCCCATCTCAGGAGCAGCTTTCAGTGCTGGATTGACAGGAGGAATCAGTACTTCTATAGCCGTCTTCTGTCATGAACTACCACATGAATTAGGTAATATAACCTTTAAAATTTTACCAGATTTCATCAAATCTAAGACTTCTTCAGTTATAATCAATACATCAAGATTTTAGAGAAGTTAAAACATAAAAAGTGGCTGATGGCAGATATGAAGAGTTATCAATCTCTTTATTGTATGGTTTTTGTTATATGCTCCTAAAAATGCATGTTGTTTATATTGTGTGTTTTTAATTTATGTAAGCAATATTATGTTGAATCTTATTCTTTTTCTTACCTTACGTTACTAACCATTGCTTTTAAACTCCATTCGGGTTACCATGAGTTAATTTAATATGTTGCTTCTGCGCAACACTCAGAGGTGTTCATTCACCACATTTTACGTATTCAGCAACCAGTACTGGACACACTGCATGGTCTTTAGCCTCCCATCACCATAGATAATGGTGTGTTGAACATTTGTAGACTAGCTGCTCGTGGACGCTTGTGAGAATATTTTTTGGGGTATATACATACCCAGGAACAGAATTGATGGGTCCTAGGTTATACATGCCTGAGAAGTGCCATATCTCTATCCAAAATGGCCACACTACTATAATCTCTCACCAGCAATACCTGAAAGTTTCTGTGTTTCCACATCCTTGCCAACATTTGACATTAACTGATTTTCTAATTTTTGCCAATTTAATAGGTTTAAAATGATATTTCTTTGTTGTTTTAGTTGGCATTTATTGATCGACCAGTGATTTTTAGTTTTTCTCCAAATGTTTTGGTTTCCTTCTATAAATTGAAAAACAAAAAATGTGAACATGCATTCACATAATAAATCAGTGAAGCAGTGTAGAGTCCTCACATATATGGCAACTTATTTTCAACGAAATACAAAGGAAATTCCATGTAGAGGAAACAGTTTTTTCAATAAATGTTTCTGCAATAAATGGATACCCACTTGCAAACAAACTTGCACCATAGACAAACATTAATTCAAAATTAATCATTGATTTAAATGAAAAATTTTTAAATATAAGACTTCTGGAAGAAAAATCGGTGTTCTTGGGTTAGGCAAATTGTTTTTAGATACTATACCAAAAGAATGATCCATTAAGGAAGAAAATAGTAAAGTGGACTTCATAAAAATGAAAACTACACAAAAGACACTAATGAAAAGACAAGCCACAGACTCAGGGGAAAAAATATTTGAAAAATATATATCTGATATTAGACTGGATATTTAAAGACCTCTCAATAAGAAAACAACTCAACAAAAAAATTGGGCAAAAGACTTGAGCAGGTATTTCACTGAAGTTATACAGATAAACAGATGAGATTTCAGGTGCTAGATTTGTCATGGGTCGGAAAAGGTGTGGAACAACCAGACCTCTCATAAATTGCTTGTGGGAATGCAGTATTCTTATAAGAGGTTAGAAATGACCCAAAAATCCCACTTACAGGTATCTACACAATAGAAATGAAAACAGGTTGACACAAAAACCTATTTATAAATGTGTACAGTGGCTTTATTCACAATTGCCAAAAACTTGAAACAACCTAAATGTCCTTTAGCTGAAGAATGGGGAAAAAAACTATAGTTCAACTATGAAATATTGCTTAGCAGTAAAAAGCAATGATTTTTCTGATATAAACTGGCATGGGTGAATCATACACACACATTATAAGTGAAAAACTGTAGACTCAAATGGCTACATACTATACGATTCCATTTATATGATGTTCTGGAAAAGGCTTACTGTGGGAACAGAAAGCAGATCACTGGTTGTCTATGAGTGAGGGACCTGAGGAAATTTTAGGGGTGAAATAGTTCTAGAGTTTGATAGTGGTTATTGGTTACATGGTATGTATTTTTGTCAAAACTCATAGAACTCTACATCCAAAGTGGGAGGTCAGGGGGGAAGGAATTGAATATGTAACTTATACCTCAATTTTTAAAAGTATTAAAAAAAAATAATTCATGAGTCTTGATTAGTTAATTCATGCTGTTGATTGTTATTTGAGGATGAAATAAATCATCTTGCTATCCAGTAATATCAGGGAAGGCATCAAATTTGGCAGTTTGTGCCTATAGTACTTTTGTTCATTGAGCATTAAATAATGCCCCTTTTAAAACCCTGTTTTGAAACTATAAAAGGAAATGCTATATTTTATAATCTAAAAGACATTTCTGTAGTCTCATTTTGTATTACCTAACCCCTTGCTAAGTGAAATTGTCCCTTTAGCACAGTTGGTAGGTGAATTATTGAAAATTTGGCCGGGAAATTTGTAAAAGAAGAAGTTAGGGAGCTCCTTCCTTAGAAGAAGCTGAGAAGGAAAGGCCAGAGGAAATTAAAACTGTAGGGAGAGAAGAGATAAAAGCTGATATTGAATCCAATGCTCGCTAGGAGAATTAAGTATTTAGGATTAGAGGAGAAAAGATGTAAAGAGATAGTTTCAGGTGGAAACTGGAGAATGGCAATTTAGAAGCTAACGGGAGATAATCTCCCAAATACTGTTGCAGAATGTCGTTTGTAGCAATTTCTTGGAATATGTAAAAATAATGCTTTGCACTAATGTCATTGTTATCAATTAGAACTTTGTAACTTATCGGTTATAAATCAGAACCTTGTAACAATAAGATTTAAAAAAGAACAGATCAAAGTTTTAGTCATGTAGCTCCCTTTTTAAGAGAAAGAAACAGTATTCTACATAGTACCTTGCATATACTAAGTGTTCAATAATTGATTGGATGTTTGTATATTTAGTAACTAAAACAAAAAAGAGTTTGTTAAAATTAGTAAAACTACTTTTGACCTTTTATCTTCAAGACTACTATTTCTAGCAACATTTTGCCCTTCTAGTAACATCTCTCTAAGCAATATGTAATCCTTTTTTTCTTAGTTCTAACTTTAGATGAGTGAAAAAAAATCTCTGTTCTTTTTTTACATATTTAGCATTTCCAGAATTAAGATTTAATGTTTTTCTGGGAAAAAAATAAATGTATACAGCATACAATATTTTCAGTATTTATTACCTCTATTCTTACTTAAGCCATTTTGCCTAAGAACAGAGGTAACAAACTCTTTGAGAAAAGGGCAGAGATCAGAGCATAAAGCTTTAATTGTCAAGAAGAGCACTAACCACGTACTTTTATCTGTTCTATTTTTCTTGATTTTAAAAAATTTTACATTTCATGTTGTATAGTAAATTTTGATGTAGTTTTTAAAAAAATTTTAACATGTAAATAGGTTTGTGTATCCATCACCATCATCAGGATACAGAGCAATTCTATCATCCCAACAAACTCTTTCATGCTCTCTCCCTTTATAGTCATACCCCTTTCCCACCCCTGCTTCCTGGTGACAACTGAATCTTCTCCATCACTATAGTTTTATCATTTTGAGAATATCATATAAATGAGATCATATATAAATAACCTTTCATATTGTCTTTCAGCATCATGGCCTTTGAGATTTTCCAAGTTTTTGCATGTATTAAGGTTTAATTTAATAAGTAAAAAATAAATTTTTATAATAAAATTTCAGTCATTAAAGGTTATTTTATATCATTCTTAATTTTGTTTTTTATTGGTGTTTTCCTAAGTTTGTGTGTATAAACTTATGGTTTCAAAACTCTCACATGTTTTAACTACAGGTGATTTTGCAGTTCTTCTTAAAGCAGGCATGACTGTAAAGCAAGCAATTGTATACAACCTGCTGTCTGCCATGATGGCTTACATAGGCATGCTCATAGGCACGGCTGTTGGTCAGTATGCCAATAACATCACCCTCTGGATCTTTGCCATCACTGCCGGCATGTTCCTCTATGTAGCCTTGGTAGATATGGTAAGATACCTTATTTTACCTCTTCATTATACTGAATCTGTAAATAGAATGCAACTTCCAAAAATAGAAATCTTGGATGTGGTTTGAAAGACTAATTATTTAAAAAAAATATTACCCATTTTAAAGACATGTGATATCCTAAATAATCTATTAGGGCAAGATATTTAAGTAGGAAGATTCATTCCTTAGAAACCAGTTGAGATGCTGAAGATTTTTGACTAAATGATGTTATTATTCAAAGTAATTATCAATAGTATTTAGAGATATAATTATACAATTATTACACTTCTTTGAAGATTTTGTAATATTGGGGTAGATGTGTTTTGCTGTTGTTAACAAAATAATTCTTTGCACTTGCTTATGGTAAACAAGAAAGAAACACTGTATACTTCTTAGGTAGGCCAGTCTTCTGCAATAAATGGTATTCCAAGGAATTTATAATTTCCCTTACTTCTAACTTTAGAGTTGATAAGTCTACTGTGTGGTCTCACTTATATGTGGAGTCTAAAATAATAAAACAAGTGAACAAACAAAACAAAAACAGACTCATAGAAATAGAGACTAAAGGGCTGGTTTCCAGAAAGGAAGGCATGGGGGAATGGGTGAAGAAGGTGAAGGGAAGTATAATCAATAATATTGTGATAAGTTTACATGGTGACAGATTATTACTGGAATTAGTGAGGTGGTCACATTGTAAGGTATAAAAATGTCAAATCACTATATTGTACACTTGAAACTAATATTATGTAACAACTATACTTAAATTTTAAAAAAGTTAAAGTCAGTAAATCTAAACACTAACAATTAGTTTTAATTTTACTTTAATATTCTAAATATGTTAAACAGTGTATTTGCAGAACTAGCAACTTTGTTACTTTTTGTTTTAAACTAGATATTATGTTCACTTTTCTTCCTCGTAGAGTCTATTAGTCTAATTTCAAAAGTGTATTTACTAAAATTTTAATCACAGAATTAATGCCTATTTGTTGTAGAACGTTTAGAAAATAAAGTTCCACTTACTCTTTCTGTTTATCTTTCTGAATCTATGCCCATTTTCCTTTTTTCCTGTTACTATGAAGAAATGTCTATGTTTCTAGCTAAGACCTCCTCCTTTAAACCATTCCCTAGAACTTCTACCCCCTCACGCTTACTCCCTTAAATTCTCCCCTCTTTCATTGTCCTTCATTTTTCCCTCTCTGCTGAGTTATTCCTGTCAGTATATAAACCTAATGTTACTTCTCCCTTCTTAAAAAGTCAGGGGAGATGGACCTTTCTTACTCTAATTTTTGTTTTAGCTATCACCATATTGCTCTTACCTCTTATAGCAAATCACTCCTTGTTTTTTAACTCTCTTCTCTCTTGAGTCTGGCCTCAAGATTTTCTCCCTGACAGCTCTTCCAGATTGTTTTTTTGTCAAATTTACCATTTACCCCTACGTTGCTAAGTCCACCGGTCATTTATCCTGCCCACCTTCATTTTACTTGAAGTTTATCATTCTCTTTTCTTTGAAACATTCTCTTATTAATTGGCTTCTGTACCACCACCATTTCTTGGCTTCTTACCTTTTGGGCCTTTCTTTCTCAGTTGCTTTTACTAGTTCTTCTTTTTCTCCTCTACTTCTAAATGTTGATGAAAACCCTCTAAGTAATCCTATCTAGTCTCATGGTATATTTATTGGCTGATAATTCCTAAGTTTTGGTCTTTAGCCCAGACCTTTTCCTTAACTACAGATTAGTCTCTCCACCTGCTTATGTGAATGTCTAAAAGGCAAATGTAGTTCAGAACCCACCTCTCGATATTTGCCAACCCCACTCCCTGCACTAGCACCTCCTGTAGAATTCTCCATCTCATAAATAACTCCATTCTTCTAGTTGCTCATATCAGAATCCTGAGTATTATTTGCTTTACTCTCTCTGTTCTTCCCACATTTGGTTTGTCATTGAGTCCTGAGGGATCCACTTCCTAACCATGTCTACTCCCATCACTTTCATTCAGTCTGCTATCATCTTTCTCTCTTTAGCTGTTCTCCCTGATTTTGCCCTTTCCCTTGTCCACCACACTCTAGATCAACAGAACAGCTTAGAGTGATCTATTTTAGTGATCCTTTTAAGATTAGGCCATGTTATTTGTGTGCTTCAGACTCTTCACTGGTTTTCCATCTTATTCAGAGTAAAAGTACCAAAATTCATGTTTTGACCTTCAAGTTTTTTCATCTTCCTTAAGCATTTCTACTCCCCCTTCGCTAATATTCCTAACCATACCTCATCTCTACCCTCTCTTCTCAAGGAAGCGCACACTCTGCTTCTTGTTGATCACTCCATGTGGAATATTTTGCCCACAGACTTTCTCCTGGCTAGCTCCCTCACTTCTTGTGAGGCATCCTATCTAAAATTTCAGTCTCTATTCCAACATTTTGCATCCTCTATCCCTACTTTACTTTTTTCTCCTTTGCACTTTTATCTCGATCTATTAATAACACACTAAACATTTTGCTTAGTTATTGAGTTCATTTTGTGCCTCACTAGAATGTCAGTTCTAGGTATGCCGGTATTTCTATCATATTTCACTGCTGGAGATGTAGTTCACAGTTAGTTGAATGGAGAATGTATGAGCTAATTCTTTTACTAGGAAACTAAAGATGTAAAAAAATGTGAGAATCTTTACAGTAAGGGTTTATAGTGTAATGAAGGGGAAAAGTAGCCATTAATTACAGTTCTTTTGATATATATTGTAGAGTAGTGCACCATGTTTGTGGAACTACAGAGAGAGGCTGGCTAAAAAAATTGAGAAATAAAATTAGGAAAGGTTTTCTGGAATAGGAAACCTACACTGAGTTTTAAAGAATGAAGAAGAATATATTAGAAGCAAGAGGAAAGACATATGAGAAAGAGGAATAATAAATAGCATCATTCTTTGTCCAGTGGGTCTATTCTTGGAACTGTATTTTGAGGAAATAACCTTAAATGACTACTGCTAATAAAACAAGCAAGCAAACAAAAAATAAAATGTATTAAAGTATTTTTTGCAGTAGTATTTGTAACATCACAATTATGTTAGAAACACCCTAAATGTACAAGAGAAAGGGGACAAATTATTTCACATATGTTTTAGGATTTAATGACACTGAAATTATGTGTTTTCTAACATTAGTGGAAAAAAACGGATTAAAAAATTATATGCATAGAGTCATCAGGTGGATGTTGGCCAGATCATGACACTCACACAACATGCCATGCTATAAAGATCAGGGTTTATTTTGTAAATTTTGGAGAGCCATTAAAAGATGTAAGCAACAATGACATGCACACATTTTTGTTTTAGAAAGACCATTTTAGCTGTAGAGAGGAAGTTTTGATTGATTTACAGCCATTTAATAAGGTAGCAACAGTAGCAGAAGTTTTAGTTTGAGATACCTTTAGGATATCCAGGTGGAGATATCTGGTTTCAGGGGGCTTTAGATAAAGCTGTTTCTCAATCAGTAAGGAAACGAATATGCCCATACCAGTGTGTATTGGCTGGCTCCTAGTGGTGGTTAAATACGGGCTTTGTCATTCAGGATAGAATTGAATGCAGGGAAAGCATAGTCTCTATTCTAGCTGGTATGTACGCATATTTAGTGGGATATTTCTGTGAAACATCCTATATAGGAATAGTCAGAATTAAAAGTTTTTGTAACAATAAAAACTTGGAGTAATTGAGGAGAAAAGATCAAATAAAATAGTCTTCTTACTAGAACCGTAGGTAGGAAGTTGTCAGTTTCGTCTTAATCCAGGGGTTGGTAAACTTTCTGTAAAGGATCAGATAGTAAATATTTAGGTGCTGTGGACAATGTGGTCTCTTTCACAGTTATTCGGTTCTGCTATTTTTAGTGGTTTCTGTCACAACCACTTAACTGCTGGACAAGAACAATAGTCTATATTAGCTGTTATACACTACTGCCATAGACTTAAACAGAAGAGATGACCAGCATGAAGTAGTTCTTAAATAGGACCCTCAGGAGATTGTTAAATATACTGTAGCACTGTCAGAGCATGATAGATTAATTCGAAGATTAATTGTACTCATTATTCAATTATAAATAATGTTTTTTTTCTTCTCAGGCAGGCATTGTGTTCTTAATACTACATTTCTCCTCCCTGAATCCCAAAACGCCAAGCTACTGTTTGGAGTAAAGCTTAATGTCTAAGAAAGTAGCATATCAATGTCCTCTTTCTGTAGATATTCATCGCAAACTTGAAAAACAATAAAACAAAATTAAAAGTGAAAATTAGAAGTAGCAATTCTTTCATAATTTTTATTAGGTTTGGGTAGACATAATTTATGCTTTAATAATGCACAACAAATCTTATTACTTAAAGATTTAAACTTTATACTTTGAACTATGGTTTATTTTTAAATGTAATAGTATATACTTATGCTTTTGAAGTTGAACTATAAACTTTTCAGTGCTCTATGCCTTTAACGATATTGGAAACTTTCAATTATTTAAATTTGTATCACTATTAAGAGAATAGAGTACATTGTGAAAACTGTGTGCATAACTTGGTATTAGTTATGCTGGGTATTGGATAGCTTTGATATACTGTTTTCTGTGTCTGTTATTGAAAGGAAGATAATGGTGCTTAAGGGCATAGAGATGCCAGTTTGGAATTGTCTGTAAATGTCTGTCTTTGCTATTGTGTGCAGTTGGAAATGAGAATTTTAAATGAAAAAGGATAAAGAAATGATAGCGTTTTGAAATGGTTATCCCCAAAAGGAATTTTACTTTCTCAGTGAGTTTAGATAGATCAGTAAGTCTGGGAATAATTTTTTCTGAGAATTTTATTGGCAATAATAAGTTATATCATACATTTAGCATAAAATAAATGTTAGAATTGATAAAGTCAGTAGACAATAAGTAACTAAAAAGTGACTAATGTATATGTGTGTGTGTTAGGGGATAGGAGGGAATAGCTTTAGTATTTATTAATGCATAGCCAGAGCATAAAATTTCTGTTGCAGTACTTGACTAAAGTATGTTATGGTTAGCATTATGTTCAATAAAAAAATTATTGTATTTGTAGTTACGCTTTATTCATTAGTGTTCTTAAGTAGGAAAATGTAAAAAAAAAAAAAAAAAGTTGAGCAGAATATTATACAAAATTGCTTGTAAGTATCTGGGTGGTTTTTTCTTTCCAGCTTCCAGAAATGTTGCATGGTGATGGTGACAATGAAGAACATGGTTTTTGTCCAGTGGGGCAATTCATTCTTCAGAATTTAGGATTGCTGTTTGGATTTGCCGTCATGCTGGTGATTGCCCTCTATGAAGACAAAATTGTGTTTGACCTCCAGTTTTGATCATTCCCAGTAATCACTGTTGATTACGAGAATGTTACCATGCCGCTTTGCATCTGTTTCTTGTACTGTATGCACATTGCTCAAAGAAAAGTCAGTGGCTTGCACTACTTATAAGTTCCATAGATTTGAGCTAAACCCCAAGAATGGTGCTCAGTACTGTTTTCCCTGTGTGAAGGGGTCTTTTAAAATATAGAAAGCTTGTGATAAAGAGGAGAAAATGGGACTCCATGAACTAATGTTGATATAGGTTTGATTAAGACTTTTTAAAAAATAATCATATAAAACACTAAAGTAGTCTCTTTATTAGTAGAAACTTCTGTGGCTATGCAGAAATAGAAATTGAACCAAAAAAATCACTTAACTTTAAGAATATTTTAAATGGACTTTGGGCAGACTTTTCTTTGTGCTAAAAGTGAATTGTGTCCTTTAATTCAGCTACATATATATATATGGTAATAGGGATCAACTGATGACTTTGAAATTGCATAAAGTAGACTATAGGACCTAGAGGAAAGCTCAGGCTGAGTTAGAGAGTGTGAATTTAGCATTGGGAAAAGCCCTTATTCTTGAATCTAGAGTTACTATTTTTGTATATATTTGCATAGTGGTTAAACTTGCAGCCTCAACTACTGAAATTTGTGATTGTATGTTTGTGTGACCAGTTTAATGAAAGATTCATAATGGTTCTTTGTATTAATATTATACTTGGTGTTTGATTTTTTTTTTTTTTTTTTAACTTTTGCGTTACAGTTTTGGGGGGGGGTAGGGGGTGGAGCATGTGATAAAATGTGGGGTATTTTTTTTCTTGTTAAAATTGTAACCCTCTAGAATATATCAGAGAAATGAAGAACCCAAACGTGGTCTAAATATTCAATGTTCCTACTTTAACAGTACTAACTAGTTATTTGGGAAATTTAAGTTCTAAATGTATGCATTGCTTTACCAGTTTGGCATTGCAACCATGTTGTGGCTGGCAGTAAATCCAAATGTACCATGTCCATAATCTGTACATGGAGTGTCAAAATGGTTATGAGGATAACTCCATTTATACTATGGCTATTGTAGTACCAAGTGACTTGGAGATATATTTAAATAACTCAACTGAAATCACTTGATCATTTTGTGCCAAGATATGCTGTTGGTGCCTAATAGGGATTAGTCTCTTTTTTAGGTGCCCTTTTCTCCTACATAATTGTGATTGATTTGTGAGAAGTGCAAGCCATGTTTATTCTGAATTTTGACCTAATAATTTGTAGTGCTAGCCATATGCATGTAGCTTTCTGTTTACACCTTGTGCCACATGGTCTTCATTTATGCCAGGTAAACTGTATTTTAACTATGTGCAGGTAGCTTTCTTTTAATCTGCTTGGCTACCAATGTAGCTGCTTTAAAAATCTTATTGTTCAAATATTTAAGAGCTGAACTCTTTCCATTCCATTAAAATGTTTTCATTTAGTTGTCCTCCTTTCTTCAGTTCCTTTCCTCTTACTTTATAAACAAAAACCACAAAACTTTGAGAGCAGCACATGCATTCAGGTATTAATAAAGTATTACCAGTGTTTCTTCTTTATGCTGTAACCAAGGGATCTTAGGTATTATTTCCTTAATTTATGCCTGAATTTGAAAAATTATTTCTGGCTTTCTCCATGATCTCCTGTAACAAATAGCAGTTTTATATATACATAGATTATTTTCAGCATTGGGCACTGAATTAGGACAGTTTTCATCTCATTGCTTGGCCCTTCAAGCAGCCTCGCTAAAAAGTGCTGATATTTTATTTAGTACTGCCAGCTTCAAGTGATTCAAGTATCTTGCTTTCTGAACCAAGGTATATTTATAATTCATTTTTGGGTTTTTATACCCAAGGAGGATTCTGCATTCCAGCATTATTAAATCTGCTTAATTGAAATACTTTTATGAAAAGCAACAGCTGGAATATACTCCCAGTCTTAAAATAAATGCCTGATTTAAAGCAAATAGGTTATGCTGAAGTATATAACATTTTATATTTCTCAAAAATATGGTATCTTTATTTGCTAGATTTTTTTTTAACATTTTAAGAGGGCTGTAAACAGTTGCTGCTAGTATTTTGTTAGGGTTCCACCAGTATTTAGTTTTCACATCATTCTAATGTATAATTTCAAGTCTTACTAGACAATCTGAATTCCACTACATTTCTGTTTAGCTCCAACATTCCATTTAGCTTGACCAGCCTAATTTAACATGTGTTTGTTGGAGGTTATTAATGTTACTTGTACAATGCTGTCACTGTGTGACATCCATATCAATTTTGGTGTATATCACATTGCGTTCAATCAGCTGTGATTATGCTTAGAAATACTGTAGTAACTAGATGCAGTGTGAATTTTTTCCATTAACAATAAGTCAGTGGCTTAAACGTGATTATGGTCCTGCAAGGTGATACTTGCTAAAATATCTAAACTTTTTTTTGTTGTTGTAACTGAATCATTTTTTTTAAATTTTGAGGATGAAAATGATCAAATGCTGTTATTTTGCATTGTCAACAGTGGTGTGTCATTTTATGTATGTTCCTAATGCTTATGGAACGCTCCCAAAATAAAGTTATTCAAAAAGAGCAAATACATCAGTGTGTTTTCTTCAGTATAATCTTTATTTCAGGACATTTCCTTACACTGTAGTATGATCATTTGAAACATAGGCTGCATTCGCACTTTAATAAATTTATAGTTAAGTATAACTTTAGTCAAATTGATTAAATCAAATAAATTTTAAAAGTGAAATATATTTTCTACTCAGCAATCTAATAAGAAATAGGAACAGGGAAACGGCATCTTCCTAACTAAACTATGAATTAAGTTGACATAGCAATGCTACGCCCCGTCCAATCCAGTGTTCTTGAGGTTGGTCAGAGGGAAGAGTCATGGCAATCACAAAATTCGTAGAATGGCCAGTAGTAGATAATGTTCCTCTTCGCTCACTTGTCTTATACAGTGGAGCAACATAACTTGGTCGTTCTGGTATATCTACCCTCTTACAGGGCTTTAGCCACATCTGGAAGAAAGTGCATAAAACTTTTGTAAGTCAAGGCTCTTGTATTTATTTGAACATATGTATGATATTGTTGAGTAAAGTTACTTATGTCTGCAAATTTCTGTAGTCCAAATAGATTTTCTTTCTGTCAGTACTGCCATTGTTCAAAACATTTTTTCTAGAGCTCTCAAAACTATCTTCAGAACTAGTTTAGAAACTAAATGAGAAAAAAGTCATTTTCACCTCCTCTGTCAAAAAGCATATTACCCATCTATTTATTCATCACCTCTCCACCATACTTAACCTGGGGATGACTTATGGTGCTTACAATAACAAAAGCCAGATAAACTTTCAAAGGAGAGAACTGCTGCCATGGCTACTCAAAATTGTGTTTTATTAAAGGCCAATCCCAAAAATTCTAAAGGATTTTTATCGATGATTATAGGACTAGATCACGTCCCCATTTCAGGTGAATATTTTAAAGGGGCTATTATGTTTGTTGTGCTGTTTAAACAGTTGCATTCCTTTATACCTATACAATGTACCCACATTGATTTTAGAAAGTCATGAGCTAAGTTACTAGAATGTTAAGCATTGTCGAACTGTACCAATCACAAAAATAGGATTTGGGGGCAAGTTGATCTCTGAATGTAAAAGTAAAGAACAAACTGATCATAAAGGTGAAATAATGTTTTGTTTTATAATTTAATTAAATTTCTTTTTCTATTGTAATAGCAGCAATCCATAGGGGGAAATGGCTTGACAGCCCCACTATTCAAAGACTTCTTTTAGGTTTTTCAGGTCAAAACACAGATTGGATGAAGGAGCTGATGAGGATATTAGTCTCTATTTTTCTCTCATATGATTGTGGAATCCAGATGATTATAAGGAGGATTTGTAAAGCAGTTTTTTGGATGTAGTTAAATATGAGAACTTTTAACACTCAAGTTGGATGCATTTCATTTCAACTAAGAGTGGATTTTCTTAATAAGTGATTTCTTTTTGCAGAAGAATCATCCACTTATAAATTTCTTCTGCTCTTCACTACAACTATTTGAGTTTGCTGTGAAAGAAAAAAAACTTGACCCCAATCAACTTCTGAAATTGTACATCTGCCCTTGTAACTTTCAGTTTGGGTCTCATATTTGAAACTCTCTGCCCACGGTATCTTTATCTCAGGTTTCTTGCAATTGGTTGTCCTTTACTGTACCTGTTAGAGCTGCTCTGAAGGATATTTGCCCATCAGAGCTGTTCCCAGTGTCCCACAAACAGAATTTATGTAAATCCACAGCCTATATTTTATCACACCATCCCGGACAAACCATTCAATTGTGTGAAAATCTATCTAGTCATTTTTACATGATGTAATAGATGGAAACTTATTTGTATAGCTTAGTCTGCTCAAGCTGCAGATAGATGCCTAGAAATTTTATGTGGGTGGTTTTCATATAGTCTTTTAATCTGTAAATTTCACATTTTTAGCTCAAGATGTATGTAAGAAATATATAACAAACTATATATATGTGGATACATAAATTCAGTCAATCCTCATTACTTCTGAATTCTGTATTTGCAAGTCTGCCTATCATTAAAATTTATTTATAATCCTAAAATCAGTACTCTGCACATGGTCATTTGCAGGCATGCTCAGAGCAGCAAAATATGTGAATCACCAGACAAGCACATTCCCAGCTGAGGCTGAACCTGTGACATTCTGCCTTTTTGTTTTATCTCTCATAACTAAACAAGTATCCTTTTCATGGTTTATTTAATATCAAGTTTTAAACATTTTTATGGGTTTCTTTTTGTAGTTGTCGATGGCGATTTCACTGTTTAAAATGGCCCCCAAGTGTAATGCTGAGGTGCTGTCTGATATTCCTCAGTGCAAGAAGGCTGTGATGGACCTCATGGAGAAAATACAATAAACTTCCTTCAGGCATGCGTTACACTGCTGCTGTCCATAAGTTCAATGTTACTGAATCAACAGTACATATTAAGTAAGGGGCCTTTAAACAAACAAATGAAACCAGGTTTTGTATTGATCAGTTAATCGAAATGTGACCAGAGGATCATGGAAACTTAACCTTTTTAGTTTCTCCAAGGTGCATTGGTTCAGTTTTCACTATTTAGTGTTGGCTCTGTAAAACATAATTACCCTGAATAACAAGGGGTGTGTGTGTGTGTGTGTGTAAAATAGCACTCCCCCGCCCTCCACGTATATCCTTAGAAAAATACTAACCACAGGCACTGTATCATAAAGAATTTTGGGATGTGATTCTGCAAGTTTCTTTATCTTTCTATTCCAAGAAGCTCCATCCAGAAATAGTCCATGAATTAAAACACCTAAATATAAAAGAAGCAGATTAACACAACACTTTAAATATGCATATTGATTGCATTCTGAATCAGAAATTCCTATGGATGAATACTATGCAGGTTATACTAGGTCAGCAACTTAAGACTTATTCTAAAACAAAAGCAGAGTTCTGAGTGCTTTGTCTTAACATCCATGTTTCAAGAATATTTATACTTTGCCTAGTTAATTACTAGTAAAACTACATGCGGAAGATAAAAGAAGAAAGGGAAGTTAGTTTGTGTGAACACTAGCAGATGTATACTTTTAATTGGCCAATGGTTATAACATCAGAGGCCATGGAATCTGCAAGAAAAGTTCTTAATGTACTTGCAGGGATCCAGTGGCTTCTAGGCAGCATGTGAACAAAATACTCTTTTGCAAATCTGTAATGTTGTGAGAGTTGTTTCTCCTCAATTTTGGAATGTATTCTCACTGCAAAGACACATGGATGAACTCCCTCTAGTATGTAATATCATATACTAACAGCTGGAGAACACAAATTAGGAAATCAGTAAAACCCAATCATTTTCTCTGGCTATCCATTTAGCACAGCGTCATGTATTTGAATATAGGTATCTGTACATGAAAACATTCATTATAATTCTTGCACAGATGTAAAGTGAAGCAATGTGGAACTTTAACCTAAGGTTTAGTTCCTAATTTGCTATGTGACCTTGAGCAATTCATTTAACTTTAAACTTGTTCTGTCACTTGGAGAACAGCTGGGAAACTTGTAAAACAATAATGCTTGCTTTGTCTACCTTTTAGAGTTGTTAGGGTCTAATCAGCTAATACTGGTGAAAGCACTTTGTGAAGTAATATATAAAAATCCACTTTGGCAGTGCTGTTCAACAGGACTTTTTGCAATTATGGAAATGTTTTATATCTGTACTTTCCAATATGGTAGCCACTGACTATTAAATACCTGAAACATGGCTAGTGACCAAAGGGTTTGAATTTTAAATTTTATTTAATTATACAGTCATGTGCCACTGAATTATGGGGTTATGTCCTGAGAAATGCGTTCTTAAGTGATTTCGTTGTTCTGTGAACATCAGAGAGTGCACTTAAACAAACCTAGATAGTAAAGCCTACTACACATCTAGGCTTTATGGTATAGCCTATTGCTCTTAGGCTATAAGCCTGTATAGCATGTTACTGTTCAAAACAACATGAGTTTAAATCAAGCACATGAGAAATGATGTCATCAAGAGACAGGTAAACACTCGATGTATAAGGCTATTGCAGCGTAACAACAATGTTTTACAGCAAACTTTTTTTTATATAAGTAGGAAGAGTACATGCTAAAAATAACAATGAAAAGAATAGTATAGTAAATACATAAGCCAGTAAAATAGCTGTTTATTATCATTATCAAGTAATATGTGTTGTACATAATTACATGTGCTATGCTTTTGTATGACTGGAAGTGCAGTAGGTGTGTTTACACCAGCGTCACCACAAACGTGAGTTTAACGCCTTGCACTAAACTACAACATCACTAGGAGATAAAAATTTTTCAGGTCCACTATAATCTTAAGGGACCACCGTCCTATATGTGGTCTGTCATTGACCTAAACGTTATGTCGTTTATGACTATAGTTAAATGTAAAAAGCTGTATGTGGATAGTTCAATGATAAATGTTGGGAAGAATTACCTTTTCTCTTGGGTTTAACTGATGGAAAGAATAGTTGGAATAAAATGTCAGTTTTATTAATTGGCAAAGCATTTGTCCAATAACTCCCCAGAGTATTACTCTGATAAAGCTGAATTGCAAAATGCATCTTTAGCCTGGGGCAATGTGAGGGTTGACCTGCCTGAGGGAGAAATAGGTCTGCAATCACATCTTCCAAGCTAAACCTCTCTAGTCAGATCTATGACCTGAAAGCCAGTCACAATAACTGATGGGAACAGGGAGAGTAGAGAGGACCCTACAGATAGATCCGAGAGAGCCGTTTAATACCCTGGCCTCACTGGTTTGTAAGCATAGCCCAGTATATCTCTGGCACTAACCAACTGGTTATCTGTTTCTCCCTTGGGAAAGAAAACTAATGTCACAGAGAGTAAATGGGAGAGTTCGTGTCAACACCTAAGAAGAGTGGCAGTAGGGATAAAAGTTTCCTCCAATCCAATAACAATTTTATAGGAAAGGTGATGGGAATATTCAAATACATTTTTATTTCTCATGGTCAATAAGGGCTTTATGGAAAACACAACATATATGAGGACAGG